AAGAGGAAACTAGATTTATTCCTCCAAGGAGTGCCGGACCAACCGGGTTGTGGTGGGTATGTGGGCCTGCGGGCCGCTCCAAGCAACAGCCTGGTGGACCAAACTCTCACAAGTCGAGCCTAGCCTCGGGCCGGGCTTGGGGAGTAGAAGAACTCCCAGAACCCCATCAACCAGGTATCAACCAGGTATCAACCAGGTATCACTTTAGTACGACAGTTTCTGGACGTTGGTAAATGTTTAGGAGGGCAGTCTGTGGTTTTGTCTAAGGTCCCAAATGAGTTATAATTGAAAGGACTCCCGCTTCAAACATTTAAGAAACTGCGAGTTTTAAACATTTGGGTTTTAAACAAACATTTGACCTGCTACTTGTATATATCTACCCCACACGGGTAGATATATACCCCGTGTGTATATACTAGTAGATATACTCCCCTCCCCAGCGTGGTTTGGCGGCCGCCTTAACTATTCTCATAATCCAAGCTTGACCCCAAAACCTAAATGAAGGATTTGGACACTTTAAATATGACTATGTGACCCACATTATTCCAGACTCACACACACGCACACACACCACACACACACCACGCGCGCGCACACACACCCACACACACACAACACAACACACCCACACACGCACACGCACACGCACCACGCACACGCACACGCACACGCACACGCACACGCACACACACACACACGCACACACACACACACACACGCGCACAACACACACACACGCACGCACACACACACACACACACACACACACACACACACACACACACACACACACACACACACACACAACACACACACACACACCACAGGCAGACTCCATACAACAGTTTCAAGTAAAGATATGATAGAGCCCAGTAATCTCAGGAACCTGTACACCAGTTGATTGACAGTTGAGAGGCGGGACCAAAGAGCCAGAACTCAACCCCCGCCAGCACAACTAGGTGAGTACACACACACACTTCTAGAATATGGGGCAACAGAGAGACTTGTTAAACACAAACAAGAAAGTAGATTGTATTTAGAGGTATGCCACCAGACTAGTCCTGGAATTAAGAGGTATGAGCTACGAGGAAAGGACTACAGGTCTTTCAATTACAGGTTAATTCTCTCGTCACTGGAAGACAGAAGAAAGAGGGGAGACATGATTACCACATACGAAATACTCAATGAAATAGAGAAGGCAGAAGAGTTCAGACTAGTTACCATGGGAAGTAAGAATATAAGAATATAGGACATGGCAGGAGGCCTATTGACCCATACGAAGCAGCTCCTTTATATATCCACCCAAACTCATTTATTTATATTTGTCTAACCTACGTTTGAAACAACCCAGCTATCAGATGTGTATTATCTGGTAATTTCTTCCTTATGTCTACCCCTGTTTCCTAACCAGTATTTACCCAGGTCTTTCCTGAATCCACGTGACTTCAGCCATGCGTGAAGTCACGAAGATGGACGCGTAAGAAAGGAGTATACAGATATATACCACGCGTGAGAGAGGGGGATATACAGACATACCAGGTGATAAGTGTGTATATGTGTAGGTACACGGGGGGGGGATTAACTGTATGTAAGGCGAGTCAGCTTATTCTGGCAGCGTAGGTCAGCAAGGGGGAGAGAGAGAGAGAGAGAGAGAGAGAGAGAGAGAAGAGAGGAGGGAGAGAGAGCGAGAAGAGAGAGAGAGAGAGAAGAGAGAGAGAGAGAGGGACAGAGCACAGAGACAGAGTACAGAGAAGAGAGACGGGGGGAGAGGGGGGACAGAGGAGGGGGGGGGAGAGAGCGAGAGAGAGAGAGAGAGAGAGAGAGAGACAGAGACAGAGGACAGAGACAGGAGAGAGAGACAGAGAGAGAGAGACGAACGAGAGAGAGAGAGAGAGAGAGAGATGAGACGAGAGAGAGAGAGAGAGAGAGGAGAGAGAGAGAGAGAGAGAGAGAGAGACAGAGAGAGAGAGAGAGAGAGACTGTGTCTACCTGTAATGCACTCGTGGCTTCCAGGAATTGTACACCTGGACCTATGCTGCTCTGAGAACGGACTGGCCAATACACACGGGGAGGTGTGTGGTAGTAACCTGTGGTAGTCTACTATGTCTAGACGTAACCTGTGGTAGTCTACTATGTCTAGACGTAATCTGTGGTAGTCTACTATGTCTAGACGTAATCTGTGGTAGTCTACTATGTCTGGACGTAACCTGTGGTAGTCTACTATGTCTAGACGTAACCTGTGGTAGTCTACCATGTCTAGACGTAATCTGTGGTAGTCTACTATGTCTAGACGTAATCTGTGGTAGTTACTATGTCTAGACGTAATCTGTGGTAGTACTATATGTCTAGACGTAATCTGTGGTAGTCTACTATGTCTGGACGTAATCTGTGGTAGTCTACTATGTCTAGACGTAATCTGTGGTAGTCTACTATGTCTAGACGTAATCTGTGGTAGTCTACTATGTCTAGACGTAATCTGTGGTAGACTACTATGTCTGGACGTAATCTGTGGTAGTCTACTATGTCTAGACGTAATCTGTGGTAGTCTACTATGTCTAGACGTAATCTGTGGTAGTCTACTATGTCTAGACGTAATCTGTAGTACCTGACTATGAGTCGCATGTCTTGACTCAATGAGATGGCTAACAAAATGCTTTTTTTTGGTCATCGTTACTTATATTCTTGCATATTTTGCTCCTTGCAATTTGCACATTCCATCACCGTGCAGGGATCTATACCTCTACCTACTTTTGGGATTATTTATTCAACGTAAACTAAGCTAATCTAACTGAAATAAGAGATCAATTGTTGTATTTTGTAGGTGGTGTGTGTGTGACGTCACTATGACGTCACACTGTTGATGCCTGTACAGGTTCGCCAATTTTTTGTAGCCTAACATCCCTGTAAGGGTCCCGGATATCAGGGGAGACAATGGCAATAAATACCTAAATACAGACACGATAACCAAAGTGGTTTAATAATATATATCACAAGAAGTATCGCATGTTTTAAGTAGCTGCATTAAATCGTATTATAACGATGTTAAATCCTGAAATGCGTGTATGGGAGGAGCGGGTGAGTGCGGAGGGGTTGGCGGGCCTGGCTGGCTTTGTTGTGATGGTTGCCCTGACACTGGGGCAGCTCCAGCACAACTCACAAGCATATAATTAAACTATCCGCCGAGGGAAAGTCTCATGATATTTATCTACCTGAAGACTACACACAAAGCCCATCCAGTATTTTAAGAGGATAATGTTTCTCAATGAAAAACAAGACTTTACTCTATTGTTATGTACAAGAGAAAGAGGATATTGCTTGTAAGAATAGGGAATAGTACTGTGGTAAAATGGGGTGTCGTGCTTGCTAAGATGGTGGATCAACCGGGTCAGCCTTGATACCTGTAGCATTGACCCTATTTACCTGTTGCTTTGAGGAATTAAGTTGAGGTACACCTCGTGCTTGCTTGCTTGATTGTTTGCTCAGGTAGCACACACGGGTCACGGGTTGTTGTGTCATGTTATGCCCTACTGGACAAAACAATCAATTCTTGTGCATATGCCTACAATTGGTTCCATACATGACGATCGTAGAGATATGATTGGGTGGTTTATGTATGGAACCAATTCCCAGGTAGCCTAATAGACGTAAGATCGTTGGGGTTGTTTCAAGCGTAGGTTTGACACATATATAAGTTTGGGTGGATATAAATAGGAGCTATGTATGTATATTTTTATATAGGTGGGTATAGGAGCCAGACGATTGACTCCTGTTAGCAGGCTTCCCCTTCCCATATATATATATATATATATATATATATATATATATATATATATATATATATATATATATTATATATATATATATATATATATATATATATAATCTAAGCTCTATTGTAATGCCAACACTACACTATAGTGCCAACATACCGAGCAAACACCGTAAACAACCCCCTCCCCCCCTAAGCTAATCACCCCCCCCCCCCCTCATTACTGACACGCACCACCAACTGCTTCCCTAAACTCCTGCTTTTATGCGTATGTCACCTAATTAGTTTTTAGCAAATGTTAAAATGTTAATTTTAACATTTGCTTCATATATATATATATATATATATATATATATATATATATATATATATATATATATATATATATATATATATATATATATATATATATATTGAGCAGGACGGCTCAAGAAAACTAAATCCCATAAAAACTCTGTGTCACACACACTTCTAACCTTACCATTTTATAAGACCATTTAAGACGCCGGTCAATAGCAAGCAATGTGAGAACTTTAACAATTACCTACATACATCTCACAGTTCACAAAAAAAACATGGCTTCCACATGGAAAAGGTGGAAGTCATTTTCTTGAAACTGTTCTTGAGATTTCAACCAAAATACGAAACTTATCCGTCAATCAGAGGTCAATTTCATCGAGCTGAAGTGACTGGGTTTCGTTTCGGGGCAGAAATGGTTGGGCACGTTTCACCTAATGCCGCTGTTCACCTAGCGGTAAAATAGGTACCTGAGGCCAGATTCTTGAACGATAGTTCTTGGCCTTAGGTAACGTATACGTCAAAATGCGACGTGCTATTAGGAGGCCGGGGTGATACATGGGCTCCATTCACTTGGTTGGAGATGCAAGAGAAAGTCCCACTATTAAGAACCGCTCTGGTGTTACTTGTGGCTTTAGCCTTTACGCATACATGATGTTCTATTTGAGAAACAGAGAGAGAGAGAGAGAGAGAGAGAGAGAGAGAGAGAGAGAGAGAGAGAGAGAGAGAGAGAGAGAGAGAGAGAGAGAGAGAGAGAGAGAGAGAGAGAGAGAGAGAGAGAGAGAGAGAGAGAGAGAGAGAGAGAGAGAGAGAGAGAGAGAGAGACAGACAGACAGACAGAGATCATTCTCACGATATATTTACTAATCCAAGCAGGAGTGGGAGAACGAAAGAAAACGTGTACTGTAAGAGGAGAAGCGAAGGGGGTACTCACCCATGATCGTCGACAGAGGAGAGGGAGGAGCTGGAGGAACCCTTGCTGTGGACGTCTCTGTTCCTCTCCCTGACCCCCTTGGCTGTCCGTCTGGCCTCATCCTGCTCAAACAAACACAGATCATCAGCACCATCACAGAATTCATCCCACACAAACACACATACATTCGTAGCAACGAAATAGGGTCCTAATAGTCCAGTCGGGTTCTCGACTCACAATTGAGAATTCAAGGTTCGAATCCCGGGAGGGACAGAAATGGTTAGGCGCGTTTCTTTTCACCTCATACTCCTGTCCGCCTTGCGTTCTTTGCACGCCACAAGAGGCGTTCTTTAAACGCCACACCAGGCTTTCAACAAGCTGATTAGCTCCTGGGTAGATGACTGCTAGGTAGACAGGCGCATTAGGTGAAAGGAAATGTGCCTAATCATTTCTGTCCCGTCCGGGATTCGAATCCGGAATTCTCGATTGTGCGTGTTGAAGGAACCTGATTGTACTTACTAAAACAACCTCCTCTTATTGAGGTGGGTGTTGGCTCTCATCATTTTCATTATAATGCGCCCAACAATGATGTATTATTCTAAAGGAATTATTCATTATTGTTTTTATGTTGTAACTGTAACTAAACATTATTGTAAACATTATTGTAACTAAATGCCTCTCTGCAGCTATTCGAAAATACAAAAAAATATATAAATATTAAAGTTTACCTTTCCGTTTTCTGTAAGTGCAGCGCCCTCGTGGGAAACAGAGAAAACGGATATCCCGCTGTCCCTGGTGGAGGCGGAACTCTTGGGCCGGGAGACGCTGCTCTCATCGTCAGCCAAGCCTTCGTCCACTGCTTCATCTTCGATTTCCGCTTCGTCTTCATCCTCCTCGAAGTAATACTCCACTGACCGGACATCCTCCTCGTCCAGCTCGTCCTCAGGGTCGGAGTAGAGGTCGGGTTGTCGTGGGAATCGAGCGGAGCGTCTGGATACTGCCGACAAGGGAGGGATGAACGTGGACCCCTGTACGGTCACCAAGCCATCACCTGTACAGTGGGTTGGACCATTCTGTTGACCAGACCACATACTAGAAGGTGAAGGGACGACCACGTTTCGGTCCGTCCTGGACCGAAATCAAAATAGATATGGGATCCTGGTCCTGATCCAGAAATCAAAATAGATATGGGATCGCCGTGTAGGTTATGTATTTATATTTGTGTATATGTATGAATTATGTGTATGTGTATATATGTACATGTGTATGTAATATTAACAACCCATTCTCAAGTCGAGTGTGAAAATGCAATCGACTTGAGAATGGTCCAGGACGGACCGAAACGTCGTCGTCCCTTCACCTTCTAGTGTGTGGTGTGGTCAACTTACTTTAGCCACGTTATTGTGACTCATCGCCTGCACTTGGACCATTCTCTTTTGTAGTACAACTTTACGGGATACTATGTTAATTATTGAACTGTAATTCTATATAACACGCAGAAATCACAATAGCGTGGTGCATCAAACGAACAAATCCACAAGGGCATCGTCTGGGATGCTCTCGGACGTAGGTTCGAATCCTCGACACGGCCCTTATGGATTTGTTCATTTAATTCTACATGTTCCCAGACTATATAGCGCGTCTGGGAACGAACCCCGTGCATGGGTTCGATCCCTCATCAGAGCTCTTATGGCTTTGTTCTTTGATATAATTCATATATCACTTCACTGTGATAATAACGTGAATATTAATGTGATATTAATCACGTGAAATTTTATTTCTCCGTGTATGTTAATTATTTGTATCTTCCCAGCCTGTTCTTCCGTGGGTTTTTGCTATTGTATAAATGTATATATTTAAAAGTCCGCGCTGAGATTAATTTACTTAGTGAAGAGCAAAATGAAAATAACATACATGAGTTAGGCCGAGGCCAGCACACGTCCAAAAGAATATTTATACGGAGTGAAATATTTTAACACACAATGGAAGATGAAATAATGGATACACATTGGATAAGTTTGGATTCAGAAAAAGACTCGGGTAAATAATGCTTTGGAAATAGTGAGGTTGATTTTATCATAAATGACCAGAAATCAAAATAGCTATGGGATCGCCGTGTAGGTTATGTATTTATATTTGTGTATATGTATGAATTATATGTGTATATATGTACATGTGTATGTAATATTAACTAGCCTTCAAAAGATTGTCACTTGCTTAGCTAAACGAACTAAGGGGTTCAGCCCTGGACCCATTATGTGGCTCTGTAACCCTTATCACCCAGTCCATCCTCCTAAGGTTTCCCATCGTCAAGAAAACGGTTAATTTAAAGTATCCTTATCCTAACCTACCAGAGAACCCAAAACAGAAAACGAGACAGTACATCACTTTCGCCAGCCGCTTCCATATGTTCTAGTACGACAATTTTTGGCCTTATGTAACGCATACGATCGAAAAGCGACGTTCTTTGTAGGAGGACAGGTTGTTCCACCACTGTCCACAGGATGGGTATGGGGTACATAGCAAATAAATGGCATAAAAAAATAGTTAGCATGTATATATGACTGAGTTTGGTTGGGTTTAAATAGGAGCTACCTCACATGATCCTTCAACCTGTCCTTTATTGTTGTTAAAGATTCGCTACCTGGAACAAAGTTACAAGTAGCACGGGCTATGGTGAGCCCGTAGTGTAACCTGTCCTACAAAGAACGTCGCACTGCGATCGTATGTAGAACCCCGGGACAGAAAACCCACACCTAACAAACCACATCTTTTCTAAAAAAACCATTAAGTAAACACGTAACTAGGATGAGAACGAAAGCGAGCTATACAACCTTGAAGCTAAACACCAGGGGGGGAGAGCCTTACCTTGGTCTAAGGGCGCTAAGGAATTCATTCGACGGTGAATATTTGGGGAGCGACTTGTAGGTCTGGTGTCCCCCCGGGCACTGCCCAGGCCGGCCACCCCATACTTGTTGGGCAGTAACGCGTACCCTGCAAACAACGCCTGTGGTTAGTGGTTTGTCAAAGGCAGGTTAGAGAGGGCGTTGGGGCATGTTTGAGTATTTTGTGTAAGGGTATATATGCAGGCGAGGAGTCACAATAACGCGGCTGAGGTATGTTGACCAGACCACACACTAGAAGGTGAAGGGACGACGACGTTTCGGTCCGTCCTGGACCATTCTCAAGTCGATTGTGAATGGTCCAGGACGGACCGAAACGTCGTCGTCCCTTCACCTTCTAGTGTGTGGTCTGGTCAACAAGGGTATATAGTGTGTCGGGGTGCATGGAGTATAGTGACATATGCTGTGTAGCGACCAATGGGGTGTTCTATACCTGGAACATACCTGGAGAGTGTTCTTAGAGTTGTTCTACTCCCCCGAGCCTGGCCTCAGGCCGGGGTTGACTTGTGATAACTTGGTCCAACAGGCTGTGACATGCGGTGTAGCGACCTATTGGGTGTAGACTACTGGAGTGTAGAATATGTACCGGACACATCTCCTGTGCCAGATGGGTATTACGGGCTCACCATAGCCCGTGCTGCTTGGAACTTTTTGTTCCTAGTAGCTAAATTTAAAACTCCTCCTGTCTCCACACTTGAGAATGAACCATGTAGGTTCGAAACGTTGTGTAAATTTATAATAAGTGTAATACATTCTACAGTTATTTGTTATTTTCTTAGTCAGCCTCAAACGTATATGACATTTGGAGAAATCCTCTTCAAATTAAACCAAGATGTAATTGAACTAGTCACAGGGATAGAAGCCCTAAACAAGAAAATAATTAAAACGTAATATGCTGTCATATTCATGAAACATGTCTAAATGAAAACCTGCTGCCCGTATACCAAAAATATTATTATATTTTATATATATATATATTATATATATATATATATATCTATATATATATATATATATATATATATATATATATATATATATATATATATATATATATATATATATATATATATATATATATATATATATATATATATGTCGTACCTAGTAGCCAGAACTCACTTCTCAGCCTACTATTCAAGGCCCGATTTGCCTAATAAGCCAAGTTTTCATGAATTAATTGTTTTTCGACTACCTAACCTACCTAACCTAACCTAACCTAACTTTTTCGGCTACCTAACCAAACCTAACCTATAAAGATAGGTTAGGTTAGGTTAGGTAGGGTTGGTTAGGTTCGGTCATATATCTACGTTAATTTTAACTCCAATAAAAAAAATTGACTTCATACATAATGAAATGGGTAGCTTTATCATTTCATAAGAAAAAAATTAGAGAAAATATATTAATTCAGGAAAACTTGGCTTATTAGGCAAATCGGGCCTTGAATAGTAGGCCAAAAAGTGAGTTCTGGCTACTAGGTACGACATATATATATATATGTATATATATATATATATATATATATATATAGATAGATAGATAGATAGATAGATAGATATAGATAAATAGATAGATAGATAGATAGATATAAGTATATATGTGGTGGCCCTCAAGTCAAATCAAGAATCCTCAATTTTTAGTCTCCGTGGTGTAGTGGTAAGACACTCGCCTGGCGTTCCGCGAGCGCTATGTCATGGGTTCGTATCCTGGCCGGGGAGGATTTACTGGGCGCAATTCCTTAACTGTAGCCTCTGTTTAACGCAACAGTAAAATGTGTACTTGGATGAAAAAACGATTCTTCGCGGCAGGGGATCGTATTCCAGGGACCATAGGATTAAGGACTTGCCCGAAACGCTACGCGTACTAGTGGCTGTACAAGAATGTAACAACTCTTGTATATATCTCAAAAAAAAAAAAAAAAAAATCAAAAGATTTAATATTCTTGCTAAGTTTGCCATTACCGTTTTCTTTGATTGAATTCCCTTCGTTGTAATATAGAAAACGAGTGCACCACCCTTGGGATTGGTGGCCAACCTCTGTAGAATGGACAAGCAAACTTTTTCTCATTAGCCAGGTCTTTTTCTACTTCAATAAACGCATTTAACACACTGTTTAAAACGCAGAATGATAGCCAGAATTTGTATTTTGTTACGCAACATCCTATCAACATTTCAATCAATCAGGAGCTTGATTTTATTGCAAAAATAAGTGTCTGAGACTGTTCCGGATTCCATTCTGGGAGTCTCCTCAGCCTAGACCTCACGTACACGGGCTTGCTAAGAGACTCAACCTTCTGGTGATCGCCATACGTGGAAATGTGCTTTCAGCCTTAAGCCTCAGGAAACTGACCCATATGAGCTCCGAAGCACAACGAGGTTGTCTGTAATAATAATAATATTGGGTAAATGGAGTGTGTAAGCTGTTTAATGAAAGTAAACACCGCCGCCTTGATTGCTCAGAGATGCACAGGTTTCGTCAATGATTGCGGAAATGCTTGATGACTCCTGGAGGTCGAAGCACGCCGGAGAAACGTTGGATCAATGTTGATATAACGTTGAACCACCGTCGTTTGGGTCAGGGGGGGAGGGGGGGACCAAGTGACCACAATGTCCAAGACCAACGTCACTTCAACGCTGAATCAACATCATCGACGTTGATTCTACGTCGATCCAACGCTACCGTCGGACATTATGCCCACTGGGAACATGCTCCAGCAACGTTTAATCAACGTCGTTGGCCCAGCGTTGCCCCCAGGGCGATGGAGGGGGCACCAGGCGCCACTTCCCTTACCTTTCTCGCTGTTGACGCCACGGTTAAACGAGGAGCCATGCCTCAGGCTGCCCCAGTACACTCCGCGGTATGCGCCTGTGGGAGGAGAAGGCATGCGTCATGCACTACGGCATCTACGTCGGCTACAGTGACGTCACGGCTTGAAGCAGTTAGTGACGTCACGGCTTGAAGCAGTTAGTGACGTCACGGCTTACCTGTAGCAGCCCGTGGCGTCACCGCTTGTAGGAAGCCAGTGACGTCACGGCTTGCAGTAGCCAGTGACATCACGGCTTGCAGTAGCCAGTGACATCACGGCTTGCAGTAGCCAGTGACATCAGACCTCAGTAGCGAGCGGAACAACACCAGGGGGACAAGAATCACTCCACATAACAAGAGTAAACCCGTTAGTCTACCCCAGCAATTAACACCTATGTATACCAATCCCGTCAGAAAATAGTCAAATTATCTTGACTTACAATCCACCATCCCATTACAGCCCCAATTACGTTACAGCTGAAATGTGAGCCACCTGTAATATCCCAATTATGTGGGTGATTTCCCCTGTCCCCAAGGTGCAAGGCTTAGGAGCAAAGACTTGTTAGTTAGCTAGTAAGTCTAAGATGAGAAGGGGCGCTACGGCATTGTAGCAACGTCTATCTAGAAGCAGAATGATAGATATCTATTGTGATATAGGTATCTATAAATATGGAGGGTAGACAAGCACAATTAATTATGAGGACCTCCACATACAGGCGCGTGCACACACACGTATATAATATATATATATATATATATATATATATATATATATATATATATATATATATATATATATATATATATATATATATATATATATATATATATATATATATATATATATATATATATATGCAATTGACGATCACAAAACACTGATCATTTTATGCGGAAAATCCACAGAGAAATATGAAAGGAGGTGAACGTTTCGGCTTTGTTAAAGCCTTTGTCAACACCAGACTGACTAAGGAGAAGGGAGAAGGGAGACAAAGGCTTTAACAAAGCCGAAACGTTCACCTCCTTTCATATTTCTCTGTGGATTTTCCGCATATATATATATATATATATATATATATATATATATATATATATATATATATATATATATATATATATATATTGGTAGCCATCTAGATCAATGCTTCTAGCACTAATTTTCTCTAATTTCCTTATGGTTTTTCATCACTTGAGAAGGAAGTTGAAAAATTAACTCTCCAAAAGTCATTTTATAATTATATTTAACCTGACGCTTAAAGAGTTGCGTTAATTCTTGTTTACATTATCAAAGGCAGAGTGGTGGTTTAATCTTTATCAATCAATCACCTTGTAACCTTTCAAACTCTGTCTTTGATAATGCTAACAAAGAGTTAACGAAACGGGGCTCTTAGCTTCAGGCTAAATATAATTCTAAAATTAACTTTGGAGAGCTAATTTTTCAACTTCCTTCTCAAGTGAATAATATGAAACATAGAGAAGATTCGTAATGGAATCATTAATATAACCCTTCCTGTCACATTGAATAATGTGTGTGTAGTGTGTGTGTGTGTGTGTGTGTACTCACCTAGTTGTGTTTGCGGGGGTTGAGCTCTGGCTCTTTGGTCCCGCCTCTCAACCGTCAATCAACAGGTGTACAGATTCCTGAGCCTATCGGGCTGTGTGTGTGTGTGTGTGTGTGTGTGTGTGTGTGTGCGTGTGTGTGTGTGTGTGTGTGTGTGTGTGTGTGTGTGTGTGTGTGTGTGTGCGCACGTGTGTCTAATTACAGCTGATACACATATATAAAGCTTCTACTTGTACCTAGCACAGGATAACATATATATAAGCTGAAGATAAATCTATGCAGAATATGCAGACGAGGAGTCACAATAACGTGGCTGAAATATGTTGACCAGACCACACACTAGAAAGTGAAGGGACGACGACGACGACGTTTCGGTCCGTCCTGGACCATTCTTAAGTCGATTGTGAACAGTATGAACATTCATTTTATTATTAACTACAATAATTGGCGTCATAACTAATAATTTGTTGAGCATAACTAGCTGTAGTCAACAAATTTATGAATTAAGCACCAATATCACATTTTGAAATTGCATTCATATGTAAAGTTCGTCTGATAGCTGGGGCCCGGGAGCTAAGTCCAACAGCTCACAAAGAACATAATCACATCGTATATTTTTAACTTGACTGGAAAATGCAACAATGTTAGAATTACTTTGAGAACAGAAACTTTCAAAATCAAAATTTCAAAATCACTGTAAAATCCTATCTCACTGATAGGACACTATTTCAATTGTTCAACTCTCATCTAGAAACCACAGTGATGACCTCAACTGCCTTCACAACTACTCAACTTTGATCTCTATTAAAGTGTATTATTAATAATTTATCTATAAAAGATATTAGAGACTTTGGAGACCTTCATTGGAGTCTTTCCAATGAAGACCCATTGGAGACTTTCGGCGCCGTGGAGAAGGGGAGGGGGGACCTGCTGCATGGGTAACAGCTTCTCCTCCGTATCAACCTTTCTTGACTTTGTGCCCTGGAGAGGCCACTCCAGACCGACAACCAGAGCCCAACTCCATAGTCTCCTGAGACTAAGGGATGCCTACTACTACTACTACTATTAGCAATAATAATTTAAGAGAAAATTACGTACATGAAGGTAAGATATAAGAACAGTGGAGGGTTAATTATATTGACTAAGCTAACGAAAATAATTGTGGCATATGATAAGCAATTATTTTAATTAAACATTTAAAAAATATATATACATATCTACCTAATTTCTAATCTAAAATTAGGCCGACATGTTCTCACTTAGATACAAAAAAAAATCCATTGTAAAATTATGTTCACTATTCACAACATCTATTAAAGCCGTTTTCTTTGATATCGCCGGAACATATTTGACTCAATGGTGTATGTTCGGACGTAGAATTATTAGCTGGTATATGCATCGCGCCTAAATTTACCTGAGGAGCCACCGTCTCTAGTGGCCTTGGCGGGGAGTGGCAGGAAGCCCGTGGCTTGTCAAAGGTTCCTTTGAAATGTTACGGTCATTTTACCATCCAATATGTCAAGTCTCGCGCGGTCTCTTAAGCTCGGTCAGTGCCCTCGCCTCCCGACACAAAACAGGACCGGAGTTCGATTCCCAGCCACGTTTTCTAACACCTGATGCCTATGTTCACCTAGCAGGGAGTTAAACAACGGTCTAACCCCCTTCCACAACACATCACATGGAATGAAATTAGTTGAGAATACTTAAATAGGCAAAGATTTAATAGGCTAAATAGGCTGGATAAGCGTTGAAACATGCACTATTACAGAGCCTACGAGAGACAATTGCGAATCACTAATAAAGTCAGCTAGAGCTACATAATTATGTATTGAAGGTTCAAAGCGAATGATTTCTTTTGTAATTATTTAGAGAAACACCAATATCGAAGCTACTCATGCATTACAACTCACCATAATGATTTATGCAATATATTTGTGTGTGTGTTTATGTGTGTGTGTGTGTGTGTGTGTGTGTGTGTGTCAGTACGGCTGAATATGTAACCTGAAAGACTTTTCCCTCACAATATTATGCGCTTACAGACTATATTCAGACTTACAAACCTAGGCTCACTATAAGTCTTACTCCACAACATAATGTCACTGAATCTGAACCTGTTGTATAATTTTAGACTTCCTGGTATGTGATACAAAGGTTTATATTACCCTTCTATTTAAATCAGAATTCTTTAGAAGACTTTTTAAAACTTACACAGAATGGAATTTTACCAAATTTGAAAAACTGGCGGGAGAATGTGCTGGTGAATGAAGCCTCTGCCGCCCATTGGATGATGATTGGTATATGATGAGTATATATGGTATATGTAACTAATTCAACCACAAATGTTTATCCTAAAAACCCATTAGATCCCAGGACTTGAAGCCATTATATAATACTGAAATCTTTCTGCCACTCACGACTGGGAAACACCAACAGCTGATTAAGTGTAAACAGTGCTGATATAAATTTGTTTTTTGCATTAAAATTATTTCAGTTGTCTGGTCGCCCACAGGGATGGGTTTATAAACTCTCATCCCCCCATTGTTTGGGGGGGGCCCCTCTGGGAGTCACTGTGACGTTTGTTTGGTAAACTGTGAATGCACTGTTGACGTAGATGTCAACTATGCAACTGGCTCGTCAGTGGTGCAATTTAAGTAAACAAATGTGGAAGTTTCAGCTGTGGAGTTTCTCACGTGTTTTGCAATCTTTACTAACGGCATTGATTAGGCTTCCCTGAAGTCTGAAGCCTTCAGACTTCTTCACAAAGTCCCAGACTTAAAATTAACATTCTTATATGGTCAAACATGAGGGCCAAAATTAGAATCTTTATCATACAGTTTTGGCATGTTTCAAGCAGGATAAAATTTGGTTAAATTTGATTTAAAAATAAACATTCGCTCAAGCCTATCTTTTGGACTGGACGGCAGAGCGACGGTCTCGCTTCATGCGGGTCGGGGTTCAATTCCGTTGGGCACCATTCCTTTCCCTCCGTCCCATCCCAAATCCTTATCCTGACCCTAAGCTATATAGTCGTAATATCTTGACCCTTTTCCCTGATAATTCCCTTCCGTTCAGGCCTATCTTTAACCCTAATATTGCTGCTAGTTTAAAGCAATTTTTTCCAGGATGGACACCGGCAAGGCTGTCATTCTAGTATCTAACTTACCTAAGTCTGGGGGCGCCGTCCTGCTGAGGTCGATGACGTCAGAGCTCCAGAGTGCCAAGCCTCGTTCATCCTGTGGTTGGAAAATACACGTTAAGTGATGGTGATAGTTGTGTGTGTGTGTGTGTGTGTGTGTGTGTGTGTGTGTGTGTGTGTGTGTGTGTGTGTGTGTGTGTGTGTGTGTGTGTGTGTGTGTGTGTGTGCCAAGAGTGAAGGACAACTGAGTTAAAGTTATCTTGCATGTGTTTAGCAAGGTACATTCCAACTATCAATTGGAATTAATGAGACAAACCTTGGTTCGGTTGTGTGTGGAGACCTGGGGCCAGATTCATGAAGCAGTTACGCAAGCACTTACGAACCTGAGGCCAGATTCATGAAACAGTTAAACAAGCACTTACGAACCTGTCCATCTTTTCTCAATCTTTGGCGGCTTTGTTTACAATTATTAAACAGTTAATGAGCTCCGAAGCACCAGGAGGCTGTTTATAACAATAACAACAGTTGATTGGCAAGTTTTCAGGTTTGTAAACTGTTTAATAAATGTAACCAAAGCCGTCAACGATCGAGGAAAGATGTACAGGTTTGACGAAGATGTTTTGTGAATCCCAGACCCCTTGACCAGTGGTCCTCAAGACCAGACCCCTGACCAGTGGTCCTCAAGACCAGACCCCTGACCAGTGGTCCTCAAGACCAGACCCCTTGACCAGTGGTCCTCAAGACCAGACCCCTGACCAGTGGTCCTCAAGACCAGACCCCTGGCCAGTGGTCCTCAAGACCAGACCCCTGACCAGTGGTCCTCCAGACCAGACCCCTGACCAGTGGTCCTCAAGACCAGACCCCTGGCCAGTGGTCCTCCAGACCAGACCCCTGGCCAATGGTCCTCAAGACCAGACCCCTGGCCAGTGGTCCTCAAGACCAGACCCCTGACCAGTGGTCCTCAAGACCAGACCCCTGACCAGTGGTCCTTAAGACCAGACCCCTGACCAGTGGTCCTCAAGACCAGACCCCTGACCAGTAGTCCTCAAGACCAGACCCCTGGCCAGTGGTCCTCAAGACCAGACCCCTGATCAGTGGTCCTCAAGACCAGACCCCTGACCAGTGGTCCTCAAGACCAGACCCCTGGCCAGTGGTCCTCAAGACCAGACCCCTGGACAGTGGTCCTCAAGACCAGACCCCTGACCAGTGGTCTTCCAGACCAGACCCCTGACCAGTGGTCCTCAAGACCAGACCCCTGGCCAGTGGTCCTCAAGACCAGACCCCTGGCCAGTGGTCCTCAAGACCAGACCCCTGACCAGTGGTCCTCAAGACCAGACCCCTGACCAGTAGTCCTAAAGACCAGACAACTGGCCAGTGGTCCTCAAGACCAGACCCCTGACCAGTGGTCTTCCAGACCAGACCCCTGACCAGTGGTCCTCAAGACCAGACCCCTGGCCAGTGGTCCTCAAGACCAGACCCCTGGCCAGTGGTCCTCAAGACCAGACCCCTGACCAGTGGTCCTCAAGACCAGACCCCTGGCCAGTGGTCCTCAAGACCAGACCCCTGATCAGTGGTCCTCAAGACCAGACCCCTGACCAGTGGTCCTCAAGACCAGACCCCTGGCCAGTGGTCCTCAAGACCAGACCCCTGGACAGTGGTCCTCAAGACCAGACCCCTGACCAGTGGTCTTCCAGACCAGACCCCTGACCAGTGGTCCTCAAGACCAGACCCCTGGCCAGTGGTCCTCAAGACCAGACCCCTGGCCAGTGGTCCTCAAGACCAGACCCCTGACCAGTGGTCCTCAAGACCAGACCCCTGACCAGTAGTCCTCAAGACCAGACCCCTGGTCAGTGGTCCTCAAGACCAGACCCCTGACCAGTGGTCTTCCAGACCAAACCCCTGACCAGTGGTCCTCAAGACCAGACCCCTGGCCAGTGGTCCTCAAGACCAGACCCCTGACCAGTGGTCCTCCAGACCAGACCCCTGACCAGTGGTCTTCCAGACCAGACCCCTGGCCAGTGGTCCTCAAGACCAGACCCTTGACCAGTGGTCCTCAAGACCAGACCCCTGGCCAGTGGTCCTCCAGACCAGACCCCTGACCAGTGGTCCTCAAGACCAGACCCCTGACCAGTGGTGCTTGGGCCAATGCGCCTCAAATTGCGATCTTAAAATATCACTTTAAATTACAGAGTCGGACCGAGGTCAGTGTCTGCGCAATTCTTGTAACTCCAGGAAGACCGCAAATACAATTTTAAACAAGTATTACTGCAGAAAGAAAACGTATTGAAAGTATAATATATATATTTTTTACAAAAATGAATCAAATTAATAGGCATCATGATATTAATTAATCACATCATGTGTGAGTTATGACGTCTAGCTAAACTTGCTGGGACCTGCCTGCCTCTGTATGTCCTCTGGGACCTGCCTCTGTATGTCCTCTGGGACCTGCCTCTGTGTGTCCTCTGGGACCTGCCTCTGTATGTCCTCTGGGACCTGCCTCTGTATGTCCTCTGGGACCTGCCTCTGTATGTCCTCTGGGACCTGCCTCTGTATGTCCTCTGGGACCTGCCTCTGTATGTCCTCTGGGACCTGCCTCTGTATGTCCTCTGGGACCTGCCTCTGTATGTCCTCTGGGACCTGCCTCTGTATGTCCTCTGGGACCTGCCTCTGTGTGTCCTCTGGGACCTGCCTCTGTATGTCCTCTGGGACCTGCCTCTGTATGTCCTCTGGGACCTGCCTCTGTATGTCCTCTGGGACCTGCCTCTGTATGTCCTCTGGGACCTGCCTCTGTATGTCCTCTGGGACCTGCCTCTGTATGTCCTCTGGGACCTGCCTCTGTATGTCCTCTGGGACCTGCCTCTGTATGTCCTCTGGGACCTGCCTCTGTATGTCCTCTGGGACCTGCCTCTGTACGTCCTCTGGGACCTGCCTCTGTACGTCCTCTGGGACCTGCCTCTGTATGTCCTCTGGGACCTGCCTCTGTACGTCCTCTGGGACCTGCCTCTGTACGTCCTCTGGGACCTGCCTCTGTACGTCCTCTGGGACCTGCCTCTGTACGTCCTCTGGGACCTGCCTCTGTATGTCCTCTGGGACCTGCCTCTGTATGTCCTCTGGGACCTGCCTCTGTATGTCCTCTGGGACCTGCCTCTGTATGTCCTCTGGGACCTGCCTCTGTATGTCCTCTGGGAATGAATACTCTGAAGCCTCACTGATTCCTTCTCGGAAAAACTGCTGGGTTTGAGGGAATACGTGTCTAAACCAAGAATATTTTCCGCCTGTAAGCAATACTAGTTTGATAGTTCCTTCACCCTGCTTGATCATTATTAACCTGTAACTATGGTTATCCATGGATGTAACCACAGAGACGCCGCCAGAAATAGAATTTAAGCCCCCAAGCATGCAACTAGCGACTGCATGCAATTTTCTCTCTCCGTTACCAGCCTGAATTATGTCTGCTTCGTCTCTGTCTGTGCCTCTTCATCTCGTCGTGGGTTGTCCCAATCACTTGGACTGGACGGTAGAACGACGGTCTCGCGTCAATGCAGGTCGGCGTTCAATCCCCGACCGTCCACAAGCGGTTGGCCACCATTCCTTCCCCTCCGTCCCATCCCAAACCCTTATCCTGACCCCTTCCCAGTGCTATATAGTCGTAATGACTTGGTGCTTTTCCCCCCTGAATCATTCCTCTCACTAATCGTGGTGGGTTATCCCAACTGCATTGCCTAATACATCTGGTAAACCTTTGCCTGGCGTGGGGGGTTTGCCGTTGTGGGGTCTAGCAGGGGTGGGGTAGGGGTCGTAGTGGGGTCTAGCAGGGGGTGTGGGGGTCGTGGTGGGGGTCATGCAGGGGGTCGTGGTGGGGGTCGAGCAGGGGGACGTGGTGGGGGTCGAGCAGGGGGAGGGGTACACACACATCATTCACTAAGAACACAACACCAGTATAGTGACTCACCGCTGCTGACACACCTGTGTACACACACCTGGCAGGGAAGTATTGTTGAGGAGGAGGAGCAAGGGGAAGTCAAACACGAAGGAGGAAGTCAAACACGAAGGGGAAGTCAAACACGAAGGAGGAAGTCAAACACGAGAGAGGAAGTCAAACACGAAGGAGGAAGTCAAACGCGAAGGGGAAATCAAACACGAGAGAGGAAGTCAAAGACGAGAGAGGAAGTTAAACACGAAGGAGGAAGTCAAACGCGAAGGGGAAGTCAAACACGAGAGAGGAAGTCAAACACGAAAGAGGAAGTCAAGCACGAGAGAGGAAGTCAAACACGAAAGAGGAAGTCAAGCACGAGAGAGGAAGTCAAACACGAAAGAGGAAGTCAAGCACGAGAGAGGAAGTCAAACACGAAGAAGGAACACGATGAGGTCCCTTACCTATTAGTACTTACCTATTACAGTGGTTACAAGACCTATAGCTTTTAGAGCCCTACTAACTAACCTTGTTAGGTTAGTGGTTAGATATGGGGAGGTGGTGGGGGATGGTGGAGAGTGGTAGGGGGGGTAGGGATGATTGACCCCTTACCCATGATTTAATCCCATAATCCCCCCCCCTCATAAGGTAATCTCCCCCTATCCTCCCCCACGCTATGAAATCGCCAAGGCAGTTAATATCTTACTCGCAAATCCTTAAGAAATGACACGAAATCGAGCAGCATTCAAGTTTCTGCCGGGTCGAAGGCTGGTGTCTCCCGGCTCCAAGGTCAACAAATCGACCGTGGATTACGGCACTCTGGATTATTGATCATTGTGAAGTTAGGTTTGGGATTAGATGGGAGAGTGGGGATGGATATGTCTCGTCAGAGCCCCCAAGACAAACTATGACCAATTGTTACCTGAAGTTGGAGGGGGGAAGGGGTGAGGATCACACCTTAGTACCCCATACTCATCGTGAGGGTGGGAATGGACCCCATACCCATCCTGTGGGTGGTAGTGGACCCCCATACTCATTGTGTGGGTGGTAGTGGACCCCATACTCATTGTGTGGGTGGTAGTGGACACCCATACCCATTCTGTGGATGGTAATGGACCCCATACCCATCCTGTGGGTGGTAGTGGACTCCATACCCATCCTGTGGGTGGTAATGCACCCCA